GCCGGCTTCGCCTCATTGAAGCCAAGAAAACTCTCTGGGGTCACTGTTGAAGAGAAGCCGGGTGTAAAGCATAGTTTCGATTGGGAGACGCTGCCAATGCACAGAGTCAAACGAATACTGTTAATAAAATTGAACTCTTGGAAGGGGCAAACTGAATTTGCAGCAGAAAACCTAGTTAAATCCGAGCGAAAGGCTCAGCGGGTTGGAATGAACTCGTACCATAGGCGGTTGGGAACGGGTGAAAGATTTGTTCGTAGTTGCAAATGCAGGCTCCAGTAGGCGACATGGTAAGAAAATATTCGTCAGATGGGCATCAGACTGGTTATGGCAATGCCATGTCATCAATGCATTGACATACCTCGTTTCCGGATAGCTCCGTTGTCAATGTTACCACGATCGGTCGCGGGATAGGTATTTCCGTGGCAGCTGGATCTAGGTGCGATGAGGGGATTGGCAGAAGTAAAACCAGGCCAATGTAGGTCCACGGGCAATTTCAATTCATTTGGAGGAACATCTTAATGTAGACTGGGGACCAGCCAGTTTGATTAAAAAACGACTATACGGGGCGTTTGGAACAACTGCAGCCGAAGTTAAAAACTTGAGGAAAGGGAGAAACGTGGAAGGAATAACAGCAGCGTGCGGCAAATTCCGGAGGCATCAGATAAAACGGGGGCCAATGGAAAAATCTAAAAGGAGATGACAGCAAGCCAAATGAACCCACGATTCAAGGTGATTCAAGGTTTAATGGTCTAAGAAGCAGTTAACTTTACAACGACCATAGGGTGAACGTATATATACAAAGGGACGCAAAAATATGCGTAATATATGCTGAGTATCACATGGAGTTAAACGGTTCCAGATTCGGTTTGGACAAAAGATATGCATCTAAATTGTTCTTGAAAACGGTTAAACTCGGCGAATGTACAACATTGGGAGGTAGGGAGTTCCAAATGAAACATACACGGACCGCAAGAAAGTTCCGTCGACAGTTCACCCTCGAGTGAGGTACCACGAGCGAAAAGTCATGCCTCCTGCCCGTTCGTGGTCGACGTCGGACAAAAAGATTTTCCAGCGGATGATTAGGTGTCTTCAGTATATTACATTTTAGAATTAGGTCTCCCCTGATGCGCCGATAGTAGAAGTCAAATAGGTTGAGACTGGCAATCCTGTCTTCGTATGGTTTATTATTCAATCCAATTACCAGCTTCGTGGCTCGATGATACATTCGCCGTAGAAGAATTATGTCTCTCTGAAGCCATGGTGACCAAGCTTATATAGCGTACTCCATGGTTGGTTGGATGTTGGTATTGATTACTCGGGGCAGTGCCAGTCGAGTGAAACGACCAAAAATCCGTTTTAGGAGCGACAGGACTTGTGAGGTCCTCTTGTAGACGGCTGTGCATTGCAAGGAGTTTTTTAAACAGCTGCTGACCCACACGCCAAGATCTTTTTCTTCACTAGTCCAAGAAAGTGGTTGTGGACCCAACGTATAGTTATATGCAAAGGGCTTCCCTACACGGAGCATTTTACATTTTTGGAGGTTAAACGGTAGTCTGTTTTTCAGTGACAAATCATAAAGTGTATCGAGATCTATTTGTAATCGGTGACTGTCTTCAATGGTGCGTATGCTTGACCATACCTTGATATCGTCCGCGAATAAAGTGATTTTATTGCTCACGAGCTCAGGTCTATCGTTTACGTATAATAAAAATAAAGTAGGCCCAAGAACGGAGCCTTGGGGTACTCCGCTTGTAGCTGCAAGTGGCTTGGACAGAGCGCCGTCAACACATACATGCGCGTCTTGGTCAGCCAAATAGATTTCAAGCCAAGCCAGCATCTTTCCCTTAATACCATAATGCTCGAGTTTTTGTAACAATATATTATAGTTCACGCGATCAAATGCCTTGGGGATGTCTAGATAACATGCGTGAACGGGATTTCCATTGTCCATAGCTTGTGGCCAGTCATCTAAGGCAATGAGGAGATTGGGCAGACAGGATCTGTTTTTTCTGAAACCATGCTGGACAGCCAAAAGCAATCCGCTTTCCTCTAAGTGTTTAATGATTTTGTTTGCCACCAGTCGCTCAAGCACTTTGGAGATCATCGGCAACAGAGTCACCGGCCGGTAGTTTGACACGACCGAACGATTACCTCCTTTGTATATGAGAGTGATAACGCACTTCTTCCAGACGTTGGGAACCATACCGTTATTTAGGGACGAATTGAATAACTCAGCGAGAGGTGTGCATAGAGAATGGGTACACTGCTTAAGGATAAATGGTGTTATCTGATCGGCACCGAAAGATTTTCTGTGATTTAGTTCAAGTAACTTTCGGAGTACACATTTTGGAGTCACAATTACTTCATGTATGGAGGTGGGCGGTGAGGGAGACTTAAAAGACATCCGGCTTATATTTCCCTTCTGACAGTGAACAGTGGAATAGAACTCGGCCAGTTCTTCAGCTGCAGCTAACGCAGTGGCCGTCAGTCCATTAGGAGTATGCAGAGGTTAAATACCCGGTTTTACAGACGCCTTATTATTAATGATCCAATAGAAAAGCTTCGGATTTTTTTCCATTTCCTCTAAAAGCATTACCTGGTAATCCTTTTTGTCGTTCACGACCAGCGTGTTTACTTTATTTCTTAGGATCGATATTTTTCCCATGTTGTTGTTGTTTGGCGACGTCGGTATTCAGCCCAGGCTGCATTTCGCTCCGGAATCCATTTTCGGGTTCTGCTTCGTAACTTAGAATAGAATCTCATCTGAGTATTCTTTGGAACGAAGTGGGACTGCAAACGTATTTTATTGACCAAGTTCCCCATGAAGTTAGACCATTGCTGGTGGACGTCTGGACCTTCCGAAAAGCAGTCCGTACGATGACTCAGGGTATTCGACAGTGCCTTCGTGTTCACTTTCCTGATCAATTTAAGCTCATCATTAAGTCTCACCGCCGAACAAACATAATCAAAAATGAGAACGACGTGATCACTCGATCCTAATAGACTTTCATATGCGACGTTTTCCACAACGTTCTTTTCGCTTGTTATGATGAGGCCCAGAATGGAGGGTATATCTGATCCTCTATACCACGTGTTGCATGATATATGATTGTGAAAGTCAAGATCATGTAACGTCTCCTGGAAGGTACACTCGAGGGAATTTATCGGACGTTGTTGAGTCCGTAGCAAGTTTGGGAGATGGAAATCACTCATAATTAGTATTTTACTTTTATACCGGGAAGCCACGAGGCGCAGCTTTTCCATTATGCTGCAATTGTGAAGTTCCTCCGCTGAAGGTGGTCGATAGATCACACCAACAACACAGTCGTTTCCTGCTACCGCCTCTATCGACCACCACCAGGTATCTGATAGCATCAACTCTTCATCAGTTAGCTCTTTGTACAATAGTTGCCTGTTATGGTAAATAGCTACACCACCTCCCCGAGAAATGCGATCCCGACGAAGTAGCGTCATTCCAGGGATGGCAAGTTCGCTATCCGATAAGTGTGGCTGGAACCAAGTCTCGCTGATAGCAATCAAGTTTGGAAAATGCTTTTCACACAATTCAGGTAATTCTGGAATCTTGTTAGTCAAGCATTGCGCGTTCGTATATAAACATTTAATGGTGTTTATTGACAGCAGTGTGGGGCAGTACGCAAGAGAATGTGCAGGTTCGGCGGTTATAATTGTGCCGACCCTGGCAGAGTCGGCGGCTGGTCGTTTTTTGAAGTTTCACCTGGTTTACAAACTCCTACGGCTTCATCTTCATTAACCTTGGTCTCTTCTGTGGGTATATTGTTCGCATGGATATGCTTATCCTTAAATCCCTAGGGAGTAAGTTTCTGTGACGTTGTCATTGTGTTTGGATTAAGTTTAGCATATCACCACGAAGTAGTGTGAGTTTCGTGGGCCTCGGGCCGGTACTCATATACTTGGTGATTTCGAAATTCGATAATTATCAACCACACCCACGTTTTCAATTTCAAGTGTACTGCATAGAAATTACCACTGCATGCAGTCGTGTGTATTTTGCGCTATTTTATCCGACGTTCCGTTGGGTTCCGGAACACCCAAGATGATCAAACTGCGGTCATTTGTATGTTTGTTGGTTGAGGTTGTAGGTTGAGGTGTAGTTTTGCGCGATCTCTCCGACCACGGTATATCAGCGAAAATCCTTTTACCATTGTCAGCTTCCCCCCAAGTTTGAATGCTGATAATAGTATACTCTCCAGGTTTTTCTCGGTATTAACGGTAACTCTGAGAAGTCTTGGCTTACCGTTATGGGGCGAATTCGGTGGTCGATTTAATCGTGTTAGGGCAACTGGTACGATAGGTTTTAACTTCATTTTAGCGCAAAGTTTGAACCACTTCTCCAATTCGCGCTTGTGTCTCGCTTGTAATAACGTATCGCAAGATTCTGTGACATTAGTGCAAATAACACTAAGTCCCAATGATGCTTTCCGTTTATTATTGAACGACATAGTTTTGGATTCAATGGCCTTTTTTGACGTTACTGCATCGGTTTGTAACAGAGGTATGGAATTCCTTGTCAATTTAACATGCTGCACTCCCCCCACCGGCCAAGACTCACGTGGTTGTAACGGCTCTTTGATATGTTCTAGTTGTTTCTCTAGTGAGCCCAGCCTAATCTCCATTAGGTCGTTTCTTTTGCTGATGTCATTTGTGTTCGATTTTGGCTGCCGTTATTCAAGATATTATCTCTACAAGTGACACATAGATAACATACTGATGGGTGATTGACATCATTAACAATCTGCACCGTTGCATCAGTTAGTGTTTTTTCACAATGGGCGTACACATGCAGTTTACAAAAACAACATTGAACTGAGGGCATACTGAGACCCACCGGGTCAGAACAGGTCACACATGGGTCGCATTGAATTTTTTGTTATCGAGCGCGCTGTTGACGCTTTCGTTAATGTCGATGTTATGGAACAGGGGACGCGTTTGGACATGTTTGGGTGTGTGTGTATGGCAGGTTAGCTAGCTAAATTGCAAGCGTGTGCCGTGTACGTGCGGTTTTGGGTCCACACTCGGACTAGCGTGTGCGTTAGCCGATTAGCAGAAGTTGTGAACGCAGTTAACTCGGAAGGCCAATGATTATCGATCCGGAACGAAGAGGGATTCAATGGTGAAATTAGTGCGGACCGGTTTCTCGATAGCGCCCGTAACTCTTCACCGATCTTTGCAGAAGCGGTTGCAAAGGATAGAACTCGTTGCGGGCTACCGTTTTGTGTAGGCAACGTGGAGTATCTTCGAAGATTGCGGGTAGTTGTGCGCGTGTATGTGGAATCCGTGACGTGAGCCAGATCCCAATATCCGTAGCTTCTCAACGGCGACTGAAAGGATTTCAGAAGTTGTACAGATCAATTCTGAAAGGATTTCAGAAGTTATACAGATCAATTCAGCTTGCGGAGAGCAAGCGATTGATATGCAGATCAACGGTGTAGGATTGAATAGATCCAAGAAAACTGTTCCAATGGCGGAGCGCCAGAAAATGCAGCCTCACGGTAGTGTTGGCGTGTTGTATTATTAGGAAACAACAAATCATTATTGGTGAGTTTCTGCACATAATGCTTACAGCAATGCAAGAGACTACCGTTGGTGACTCTGAGGGTGATCATCCAGAAGGCGCATGGTGTGTGCGTGGTTTTAGGAAGGTAAGGACCCAGCCGTTGGGGTGGCTAGCAGAGAGACTAGCCGTGGGCCAATTGAAACAGGCCATTGCTTGATGGGTTATTCAGGGTGCAGCGGGCGGGACTTTGTTGTGCAAATGGGGGTGATGTGAGCAGGGACAGCGGACAAATGATAAACGGTTGAGCAACTGCCTACGGGATAACATAACATAGTTCAACTGGAATCTACTAGGTGAACTAAACAGACAGCAAGAGTATGAGTCACCAGTAACAAAGTCACTGCTGTCAGCTTCAAGAAATGATTGGTGCATGGCAATCAACAGCCAACAAGTGCTACCCGTGACTGCTGTCGTTCAGACTTTCACTGGAAATGCCTCCAAAAAGAACCCCTTAATGCAGCGCAGACTTGCTCACCGTGCTCTATGAGACTCGAGACTGTGGAGCAGTGAATCCTGTGAGTTTCGAAGGGACGCTTTTGAGGAGTCAGAAACTACGGCATCTGTTGCGAGTCCTCCACCTTTGGTTTGGGTCAAGCTGTTAATATATTCTAGCCTCTCCGTCGCGGAAGAACTGTTTTGAAAGGAAATCGTGTTACGCTGTTGATGTCATGTTATGGAAACTGAGGCGATTTAAGTTGGCCCGCTTCAAAATGCGTTTCATTACCTAGCAATATGCTGGTGATACTCATGGGCCTGCAGCTGTTGGGCGATTGGAGATTGCCAGATCAGTACATTGGCGTGACAATCGGCATCTTCCAAGCGAATGAAACGTTTCCACCGTTCATGTACCCCTTGAGCGTTAAAATCATCCACTAGCAAGAGATGAGTAAGATGGCATCCGGAGGGAGTATTTCCAAGGGTTTGTCAGAATAACAGGGCGTTTTCCCAAGGACCTAAGGGACGGAAGCTGAGAGCGCCTGGATGGCAGTCAGTCTCGTGCAGCGGAATTTGCACCCACGATGCATTACAAAAAGGCGGAGGGGTGCTAATCGGGTGCAATCGGACTGGACAGGGACACACTGAAGCATAAGGCAACTTTAACCGCTCATTTCCCTCACAAGTCACTCATCCACCGTGATCCCAGCCCCAGAGATATCGGATACGAGCCACGTTGCCGGAAAACAGATTATGGACAGTCGTTCAAGAGGAGCAGAAGTGAACATCGAGAAGTCTGTTAAAATGACCTGGGTGGATCGTGGACTGACACTTCAAAAATATTCCCACTTCAAGTGCAGGTGGGGAGAAGAGATATATCGTATCACTAGAGTGGTTTGTAGATGTGCCGGTTCTACGCAATTCTGGGGTCGAAGGACTCAGCCCCTGCGTACTTGTCTGCTTCCTGACTCGATTACCACCGGTGCAGCCGTCTGTCTTCGAGGGATAGAAAAAGGGGGAAGGTACTGTGGAAGGCAGGATAGCTTTATGTGACGGCTTGAAATAACTTGAAGTAATCGCGGAGTAAGTAAACATTGTTTGGTAATTGCTTGAGATGACCAAGTCTGGTGGATGAAATTGTGGCTCCCGTGTTTTCTGGAAGTTAATAGTCATCTAAGGACGATTTCCACTCGGGCGTGTAAGAAACCACTGTAGTAAATGCTAGAACAGACGGTCACACAGGTTTCCGCCATAGATGGGGGGGGGGGTGAAATACACCAGCTAATGAATGAAAACCGAAATAATTTTCTCCGAAAGTTTGGCCTCCATTATGCCATAACATCGTACGGTTAAATGTTTCAGTGCCCCTTGGTAGAAGCACCTTGTTTTAAATTATACTTTTCCAGGGTCACCAAACTACACAAAATAAAAAAGATTGATTGATAACGTATGCTATATCACTTTTCATCACTCAGCGTTTCTGGAACAGGGCGATGCCATACCTTTTTCCAACACGGTTGAATGGTTTCAAACTCTATTTTAAATGTAGTTAAATCTCCGTCAAGATATGCTGAACCCAGGTGTTTACTGCTGAAGTTGCGCAATTATTGCGATTGGCACATGCATTGTAGACCATTTACGGGTCACTCAGGAAGAAAAAGGATCTTGAAATACCCTTATCAACAAACATTTCCGGTTTATTCTATAGTGCAGAAAGCCATCCATTTAATTCAATAGAAAGGTATGAACCAGGGATATATCAAAACCCTAAGTCGCGGATATAGTTAGGGTAACGGGGAGAAGCTGTTCGATATTAGAAATGAGGAAGATTGTATCGATGAATGGACAAACAGAGCCAAAATTGAAGTTGTTTATACTGTGAGGAAGGCGTGAAGAAATCTCGGGAAGTGATCAACATGAAGCTGTTTGGTGGGTCAGTGGATGCAGGGGACCACAATTCTCCTAAGACGCTTCAGCCGAAAAAGGATCTTACCAAGTAAACGGACGGCCCGGGCGATATGGCGATGCGCACATAGGATATTATACCATCGTTAGCGAGCGTTGCGCACACCCTAGCAGCGGGGCAAACAGAACGGCAGCTTTCAGAACGGTGGAAAGTAACAATTAGATACAGTAGATGAGATAAAAGTATCTTGCTAACAAGCGTAATTTGAAAGGGCTGGATCATCCACGACCGAGGTATCTCACTTGAGGATTGAAAGCAGAGCGGGGGGAAGGATCCTATGGGGAATCTAAAAGTAGGAGTGTCTCGTATCCTAAAATGAAAATTCTTCCATAGCTTAAGAACTATGGCTGAAGGCTCCAAGTAGAACGGAATGCTAGATAGTTTCCCGATAGATGGTGCAGGGTACTACTGGCCTGGGGTACGTTATCCTAATTTACAAGCAAAAAGGAGTGAACGAACGATAGATTTGGTAATTTGCATTAAGAAACGCAGGAGCCAAACAAGTTATCCTGCCTAACTTAGATGAAGAGTGTAAGTGCTAGTAGAGATTTTTCGCCGGTTTAATCTGCCTGGGTGCCTTAACGCTTGAACCGATGCGGAGGTTAGCAATAGCGGTTTTAGTTTCTCAATTACCGTGGGTCATCGTGAAGGATTTTTGTCCCAAGGATGACGCACAAACAGTCATCGTAAGAAGAATAAAGGTGACCAAAGCAGTACATCGTGCAGATTGTCACCAAGCGCTTGTCCAGGAGCCCATCCACCCCGGCGCAAACATTATTGGTAGTAAGGAAGTACTTCGTGACAGTGCTGTAATACGGTGACTGCGGGCATTTGATTGTAGACAAAGATGACGAATGCCTCGAATACTAGCCTTTATTCTCGATTTGCTTACCCGTAGTGTGCAGTGAGTGCAAAAGGCCTCTGATCGCCTGGATCCATACTGCGGGATGGAGGGTGTTGTAAAAGCTAGAAAATCCGGGACCACGAAATTCAGGAAGAAGGAACTTGAAGCACTGTATCCTCAAAGACTTTTGATTTTATTTAAGTAACTGAGAGAATGCAGCGCTTGGAATGGGGTTTGAAGAAGTAGCCAGCACTGAAGTAATAGAAATTGGTTATGTGAATTACCGGCCGATTTTACAGGAGATAGAAGAGAAAGCAACTGCGTGTGTGAGAGCAAAAGTGTTCTTACTGTTGGCGGTTGGCGAACAAAATGTTTCTCTTCGATATAGTAGGTTGATTAGATTACAGTTTATGCTTAGGGCAGCTGATTCCCATCACTATTGGAGCGCAATTTCATCGGTGACCTGTATTGATAATCCACAGCCACGTAATTGTACCCCTATGGTAGATACGGAAAGCTTCTGTGGAGGCAACTAACCGAAGAAAAGCCATAATATCACTGAGCGTCCTGGTCACGTTCTGGGTGCTACTTGAGAGGTAAAGTGGTAAAGTATCGATTAAGAAACAACGCCTATTCCCGATTCTGTCTGAGGAATTTAGCCGATGCTAGGGCGATGTATTTGACGCTCAACGATTAAAGAAAACCAGCTAACCTTGAGCCCGGACAAAAGTGGTGAGATGCGGTTAAAGGATTTCCTCTGGGAGTAGTACGTTGCGGGACGGCTAAAATGGTTAACCGGTAATGTGTTTGGATTGGAGAAGACTTGAACGCTAATAAAAATATGTACTGTTGGTTGGGCGAGTTGTTAACTTGTAGAAAGCAAAAAATTCGGCTTCTTCGTAAGATCCTTTATTTCATTGAGCGACAAACTGGGTTCTATCGGTGTAGAAACAAACAAGGTTTACCTAGGCCTGACTATTACTTAGCCAGAGATCGGTTTTCCTTACGGTAATAATAACACAGAGTCTGTCAACTCAACCGTTGAAAATGCTTGTTTGGCGGCCTGAGTTTTCCTTACTTGAAGCGACATTGCAGCTGCTGACCACTGCAGCTCCACGAATTTAGGTATGCTAGTGATAACGTCCCGCAGACTATTGACATGGATTCGAGAGCTACCGCTCTCAACCATCCGCGCGTCAGTTCTCCGGTTTATCCCTTTAGGACCAAAACTAGATCATAAAAAAGTAAGCCGTACTAAGCCGGGATAAGGTCCAAAAAATTCACGAAGCACGTCACAACTTCGTCGCGGATCATAATTTATGGGGTAGAAGAAGGTAGAAAGATTGAATGGAGTTCTTTCTAAAGTGGTGAATTATAACATCCTGATTGAGTCCACCGACGGTCGCTGGGACAGATGTCCGAAAGATAGGCTTCCCCCTAATTGTAGAAGTGCCAAGAATGAATCAAGAAATTTCCGACCTTCAGCCATGTGCTTGTAAACTGTGTACCTAACTTACCC